AAAATGTTGGAAATGGGACCTAAAATTACCAATAAAAGTATCTCATTCCTCTGACTTAAAATAGTCTCCTTCCAGCTAAAAACTCCCTATTAGAGCTGCTTCTCTCCCTTTTTTTCATCCTCAAGATGGTGTCTGGAGGGTGGTGCTTAGGTGACCTCATTGTGGCTCACAGCCCATTTTCTTCTCTGGATGGTCACCAGCCTGTGCTGCAAGGATGCTGGTCTGGTCTTGTCCCTGAGCTGCCAATCCTAAGGTCTGCTCTCGTGGCTTTCCTCCTTAACCCCATGCCCACAGCTGCCAGGAACTTTTCATATATCATATCTGCCTCCTTACCAAGATGAAATTTGCAAACACCCACTTCCCAGAGGCCTCCTAACAGAATTGCTATTGGGGAACATAATTCATGGGAGAGAGGAATAAAATACACTCATACACACACACACAAACTTTGTTAAGTTACTTTGTTTTCCATTTTCATTGTCTGTTGTGTGCATATTACCTTTGGTAACCTTGTGAGGAAAGGAAACTGGAATTTGAGATTATCCCAAATACTTCATAAAGTCAAGCTCTTACAGATGATTTCTTGTATTATTTCTACATATGGTTCTATTTCCCACTATTCTCTTTCATACTCTCCCAATATACCCCAATAGAATGTTCAAGCATTTTCTGTTTTGCCTATTTCTGTAAGCTCAGTGTCTAGAAGAGTGCATGGCACAGAGTACGCACTCGAAAACTATTTGCTGAATGAATGAATGGTTGGTCACATCTGCTAAAGATGGATTTATCCAGTTCGACTCTCAGGGACAATCTTATTTCCCTTATACCTTCAGAGCAGCAAGCAGAAGCTCATGTGCTGCCCACAGCAATCACCCGCTTGGAGGTGGCTGTGGAAGCAAAGGGTCCAGGTGAGATTCCTCAGGAAGAACAAGAAGGAGAACAGATGGGGGCCAGGAACAGACCTAGAGTAGCAGTTCTCAACCTTTTAAACCTCAGAACCCCCTTACTCTTTTGAGGGAGGAGGCTGTCTAGTACAGGGATTGAACCCTGGGCCTTGGCATTATCAGCACCATGTTCTAACCAATTGAGTTAATGGCCAGATCCCCTCACACTTTTTATTTATTATTATTATTTTTTTATTTATTTATTTTTTTTTTTGTCTTTTTTGTGACCGGTAAGAGGATCGCAACCCTTGGTGTGGTGTCGCCCACACCACGCTCAGCCAGTTCCTATATAGGATCCGAACCCGCGGCGGGAGCGTCGCTGCACTCCCAGCGCCGCACTCTCCTAAGTGCGCCATGGGGCCGGCCCCCCTCACACTTTTTAAAAAGGTTGAGGATTCCAAGGCATTTTCTTTACATNGGGGCCGGCCCCCCTCACACTTTTTAAAAAGGTTGAGGATTCCAAGGCATTTTCTTTACATGACTTATGTCAATATTTACTGTGTTAAAATTAAAACAAAAACTTAAAAAATATTTATTAATTTATTTAAAGCTAACAACAAAAATATATTACATGCTAGCATAAATAACATTTTTATTTAAAACATAGCTATATTTTCCAAAACAAAAATTACTGAGAAGAGTGGCATTTACTTCTTTGCAAATCTCTTGTGTCTGGCTTAATAGAAGACAGCTGTGTTCTCATATCCTCTTCTGCATACAATCTGTTGTGCTGTGTTTTGGTTGAAATGTTTGGTTGAAATCAGGCCTCACACAGATACATAGTTGGAAAAGGGAGGATCTCAGGGACCGCAAAGGCTCTCTGATCACGTTCTGAAAACTGCTGTCCTAGAGCAATAGCTGCTGCAGCAATAACAATGATCTCTGCTGCAGAACCTTCAGCCCTCCAGAAACACCAGACCCTAATTTTAGAACAGAATTTCAGGTTTTCACCTTCTTTACCTCCAGCCTCTTTGTTTAGAATTGCACAATTCTTCATTGTGTATAAAACAGCTGGCAACCTTGAGCAGGAAAATTGGGTAAGAGGTAAGTTCCTGAGGGAGTATGTTGGTCTTAGGTAAAAGGGAGTGGACTAGACATCCTAAAGAAGGGATGAGGGAAAGAAAATACATCATGCGTTTTCAGTAAAGAGAGACAACAGGTTAAGAAGCTCAGGTACATTTATGAAAAAATATGACTCAGAGTCTCAGCTGAATAAAAGAAACAATGAAGCTCAGCCTGCTGGGTGTGTAGAAGGAGCTGATTCTTAGAGGGGGAGGAGATGGTGCACATAATTATATTTCTGTGTCTGGATATTCTTGGGCCTAGCTGACAGGGCCACAGCTCTGTTCATTAGTTGGAGAACTGATTGCCATATAGCAGATTCTAACAGGTGCAGCTCTAAGACTAGTAAATTCTCAATATGTTGGAGTGGGCTTGCTACCATGAGTGGGAAGGCTTCAGATAACACCTGGTTTATAAATCCTTCCCCATCCATGGGACAGCACAACCACCAACACTTTTTCTCTGTGTTTTGCTTACCTGCTTTAAAGAGGGGAGGTACAGGCAGCCAGCTGTCAATAACCCTAGCCAGGGCCCAAATACCACCCATCTTCCTTCTATCACAAGTGGCCCAGCTCTGCCCAGAAGGATGTGTGTATGTGAGTGCTGCAACTAAAGGCAAGAGCCACACCCTGGAGTATTTTGCTAAACAGATAACAAGTCCAACCTTTGTACTTGCAACTTTCCAAGGCTTTTTCTTAAATACTAAGGAATACACTTACTATCTCTACTGCATTTAGTCCTATACTAACTTGTGACATCTTTTGCATTATTGCTCTACATTGCTATTTAGGTGGCCTGGGGCCATGACTGTCTTACTTAACACAGCAATCCCTAATTTTAATATAGTTTTTGGTACATAAGAAGGCACATAAGTTTTTAGTGAGTGAAAGTTAAGTGAATGCATTCTAGTGG